ATAAATTTCAAAGAATTCAAATTTTAACTATTCAAATTTGAAAACTAATGGCACTAACAGAAAGTTTATAATTTTGCTAACCTAAAAGCAAAAAGAATTAAAACATTAAAGCAAAAAACAAAAGAAAATAAATAATGCAGAAAACAAAACAAAAAAACAGGGAAAAAACTATTTTTGTAGTAAAGTTAATCACAAACTTGTGATTCACACAAATTTCAAACAATTCAAATTTTAACTATTCAAATTTGAAAACTAATGGCACTAACAGAAAGTTTATAATTTTACTGACCTAAAAGCAAAAAGAATTAAAAAATAAAGCAAAAAACAAAAGAAAATAAATAATGCAGAAAACAAATCAAAAAAACTAGAAAAAACTATTTTTCTAGCAAAGTTTATCACAAACTTGTGATTCACATAAATTTCAAAGAATTCAAATTTGAAAACTAATGGCACTTACAGAAAGTTTATAATTTTTCTAAAACTAAAAGGAAAAAGAATAAAAAAATAAAGCAAGAAACAAAAGAAAATAAATAATGCAAAAAACAAAAGAAAAAAACTGAAAAAAAAACTGCCACCTATTGGGCCACCACGGCCTGAATACGACTAGAAACCCAACCTGAGCCAGGATTCAGGCCCGCAGAAGGCCCAATAGGCCCATAGACAGCATAGTGTAAGATTAGGCCCGTAAGCCTGCATTAGAGAGGAGCTCGAGAGGGCAGCCGTAGCGGGGCTTATAAACCACTCTCGAGCTCTCTCAGCTAGCGAGGTGGTACTAAACTTTTGACGCGGGACAGCACAAGGCCTTTGGTCCCGGTTGGTGCCACCAACCGGGACTAACGGGGTGCATTGGTCACGGTTCGTGGCACCAACCGGGACCAATGCCCCCTTTTAGTCCCAGTTGGTGCCACCAACCGGGACCAAAGGCCTCCGCTTCCCGCCCTTTGGGTTGCTGAAAAGAGACCTTTGTTCCCGGTTGGTGGCACCAACCGGGACTAAAGGGAGGCATTAGTCCCGGTTGGTGCCATGAACTGGGACTAGTGGCTTTGCTATATAAGATGACACTTAGGAAATTTTCACTTCTCATTCGCAGTTGCCCTCGACGACGCCGACGACATCATCGACGCCGCCAGGCTACCCTGACGCCACCCGCCGCCCCCGCCGTCGCCGTCGCCCACCGTCGCCGTCGCCCACGCCTCGCCGTGGCCCGCGCCCGCGCCCTCGCCCGACGCCGTCGACGCTCGTCGCC